ATTACAAACAAATGTTTTTTACGAAAACAATTTTTTTTTTCCAAAATGGATTTTTCTGTTGACTTATATGATAACTTGGACAGATTTACAAAATTGACCCAAGACCTTGTCAACTGTGATGAGAAATTATCAGAAGATCAACTGGCCATGGTCTTGTTAAACTCTATTGGGCATAAAGACCTCAAGAATGCCTTAGAATATGGAGAGACAAGCTTACCATAGAAATTATTATAAATGCCTTAAAAAATAGGGTTCTTGAATTAAAATCAAATTCTATCAACCAACAAAGTGGAGAAAATCTTTTGATAAAAGGCAAAAATTTTGATAAATCTAATTTTCATTCAAAATTTCAGAATGAACCTAAGAAAAGAAACAATGACAAAATGAAATTCAAAACTAAGGCAAAGGGAAAGAAATGTTATTATTGTGGTAAGTTGGGCCACTTTGCAAAAGATTGCTATAAAAAGTAAAATGATTTGAAAGGAAAGAAGTTAAAAAAGGTAATGCTGTTTCGTCCTATGATAAGCAAAAATTTAATAATGACCTGGTTCTTGTAAATGTTGAAAGGAACCTAAATTAAGAATGGATACTTGATTCAGGTTGCTCTTTCCACATGTTCCCTAATAAAAACTATTTTTTGGTCTTTGAAGAAACTAAGGGAGGCCAAGTTATCATGGAAAACAACATGACCTGCAAAGTGAAAGGTATTGGAACCATAAAATTGCTCTTAGAAATGGCAGAGTTTTATTGTTAAAAGAGGCCAGATTTGTTCCTNTATTGGAACCATAAAATTGCTCTTAGAAATGGCAGAGTTTTATTGTTAAAAGAGGCCAGATTTGTTCCTGAATTAAAAAAAAAACATTGTGTCTCTAGGAATGTTAGATGACATGGAGTTTGACATAAAATTGGGCCAAGGACACAAAAATCTTTAGGGGTAGTGATTTGATCACTTCTATCCCAAAAAGACATGGTTTATACTTTTTAAATGCAAAACTTTTGTTGGGCCTTTCAGTAGCAGTTTTAGATGATAATTTTAATCTTGCAAAATTGTGGCATTGTAGACTTGGTAACATTGGTGAAAAGGGTTTAAAGGCTTCACATAATAAATGTGTATTTGGAAAATCAATTATTGATGATTTGTCTAAATGTGAACAATGTTTGATTGGAAAGCAAGTTAAGTTACCTTTTCCCACTAGTACTCATAAATCAAAGTAAATTCTAGAATACTTACATGCTGATTTGTGGGGCTTTGCATTCGCCCCTACATTGTCTGGTTACAAGTATTACTTGCTTATTATTGATTGTTTTTCAAAAAAAAAAAAATTGGGTATTTCTTTTGAAAACTAAAGATGAAACATTTGCTACATTTAAAGATTGGAAAACCCAAATTGAAAATCAAACTGATTTGAAAATCAAAACATTGAGAATCGACAATGGTCTAGAATTTTGCAATTATGAATTTAATGATTTTTGCAAGTTGCATGGCATTTTAAGATATAGAACCGTGACCTACACACCCCAGTAAAATGGCATTGCAGAAAGAATGAATAGGACTTTGTTGAATAAAGTTAGATGCATGCTTTTGAGTTCTGGCTTGCCCAAATTATTTTGGGGGTGAAACTGTTAAAATTACTGCATATTTGATTAGTAGAAGTACTAAAATTACTTTAAATTGTGATGTTCCTGAATCTGTGTGGACAAAAAAGCCTGTGATCTATTCTTACTTGAAAACATTTGGTTGTGCTGCATATACTCATCAAAACATAGGGAAACTTGGAACTTAGATCCCTTAAATGTGTGTTTTTAGGTTATGCTGAAAATGTTAAAGGGTATAGGCTATGGGTATAAGGGGAAAAAGGTTACAGGGTTATTATAAGGAGTGATGTGGTCTTTAGTGAGTCATGCATGTCATGTTTGGAAGGGAAAAATGGAGATTTGACTGAAAATGATGTCCAAATTGAGGTAAAGTCTATTAAAGTTGATAATACCAGTTTTGTCCCCTTAGAAATAGCAACTAATGAGGCTGACCAAAATGAAAATGACCCTGATTTGGCTGAACTTGAGTAGTATAATGATGATAATACACATCTAGATGAATACCAACTCACTAGAGACAGGGATAGGAGACAAATTAGACCACCAGCTAGGTTCAATCGTGATGACTTTGTGTCTTTGTTCACTTATCAAGATGAATTTGAAACTGAACCTAGTTTCTATCATGAAGCCTTAAAATTGAAGGATTCTAAGCGGTGATTAAGTGCTATGGAAGAAGAGATGTCTTCTTTATACAAAAATAAAACTTGGGAATTGGTTGATAGACCTAAGGATAAGAAGCTAGTTGATTGAAAGTGGATTTATAAGATAAAAGAAGGGGAATGTGACACTAACAATGTCATATACAAAGCTAGGGTTGTTGCTAAGGGTTTCACACAAAAAGAGGGTGTGGACTATGATGAGATTTTTTCCCCCGTTGTTAAATTTCCAATATAAGATGTATTCTTGGTTTGGTTGTGCAATTTAAGTGGATCTTGATCAACTAGATGTAAAAACTGCATTTTTATATGGTGAATTAGATGAAGTGATCTACATGAAATAACTTTTAGGATTTATTAAAGGAAATCTTGAAAAAACAGTGTGTTTGTTGAAAAAATCTTTGTATGACCTAAAACTAGCTCCAAGACAATGGTATAAAAGATTTGATTTATTTGTTTTGAAGCTTGGGTTTAGTAAAAGCAATTATGACAAACGTCTTTATTGCAAAGGAAATGGAGATAAAGATTCTTTGTATCTTGTGTTATATATTGATGATATGCTTCTTGCTAGTGCCAATAAATCTAAAATTGATGATATCAAACAAAAATTCAAATCAGAATTTGAAATGAAAAATTTTGGTTCCACTGAAAAAATACTTCGCATGCATATTATAAGAGTTGAAAAATCAGATTGTTTGTTTTTATGTCAAGAAGAGTATGTGAATAAGATCCTCAAGAAGTTTAATATGTTTGATTGTAAATCTGTGACTTTACCCCTTGCCAATAACTTTATTTTAACATTTGATTTGTATCCGAAAACTAAAGATGAACTTAAAAAATGTCTAAAATACCTTATGCTAATGCTATTGGTTCAGTCATGTACTTAATGATTTGTATTACCTGATTTTGCTTTTAGTATTAGTGTTTTGAGTAGATTTATGGGGAATCCTGGTGAAACTCATTGGGAAACCTTGATGTGGTTGTTGAAATACTTAAAGGGTCTAACTTGGATTTGATGTTTAGAATGGACAAAGAGTGGGTAATTTTAAAGGGTTTTACAGATTCTAATTTTGCTGGAAATAGAGACAATAGAAAATCAACTTCATCTTATTTTTACACTTTGTGTGGTACCGTGATAAGTTGAAAATCTCAATTACAAAAAATTGTTGCTCTATCTTCCACCGAGACTGAATATATTGCTGTCATTGATGCCATTAAAGAAGGCATATGGCTGCATGGTTTATTGAATGAACTTGGCTTTCTAGACACTAATCCAATATTATATACTAACAATCAAAGTGCAATCCATTTGACTAAGAATCCCATGTTCCATGATAGAACAAAACATGTTGATGTAAAATACCATTTTATAAGGGAAATTATTTCAAAAGGTTTGCCAAAAATTAATAAGACACCTACTTTGTATAATCCATTTGATATGAGAACTAAGATGATACCTTTAAATAAGTTTCAAAACTGTTTAAAGATGTTATCTATTGATTCTTTTAATTGATTGTACAGGTACAATAGAGCAAATGAAATTTTAAATGTTGGTGAAATTTCTGGCTGCAATATAAACTTAAATTTTGGAAGCAAGGTGGATATTGTTAAGAATTGAACCCATAATCTGCTGCCTTCAAAAAATTACTTCCAAAATTAGAAAAAAGGAGAAAGCATGTTTTTGGAATAACAACTTATTAATGGAGCTCTACAGCTAGATTGTGATGCATGGTGATTTCCTGGCCATTGGATCTGATTCTAAATCCTTCTATCTACTTAACCATTAGATTTTTGGGCGGCTATTCACATTATTGAGTGAGAGACTTTTCTTCTGGGGTTTCAAGTTACTCTCTCTCTCTCTCTCATGTCTCATTCTCTCTAAGAAAAAGTGACTCTCACTTCTCTCACTTCTCTGTTTGCAAGAAAACCCCTCTTCTTCTGGTGATTAGTGTTTGAGTTCTTGAAGGTTTCTGTTGAAAAAAATACATGTAAACTCAAGTAATACTATAGATACATACATTCCTCCGTGGATCACGATTTATCCTGTGATATGTCTAATGCGAAGTGATTTTATAGAGCAGTTCGGCTTTATGAGATCTTGGTGATCTCGGTTGGTTCCTTGGTGGAATAGCATTGGTTTTTTGTGATTTCTCTTAAAAGATGGGTGACTCTTTGAAGGCGGAAACTGTGATGTGAGATTTGTGTAATCTGATCGGTGATTCTTTCGTGGAATCGAGTCTGCCGTGTTGATAAGATAAGTCTTAGTGACTTGGTACTTGTAATAATTTTGAAACATTATTGTATATTTGCTGCTTGATTTTGGGGCTTTATAGTGTAATCGAGTTTTATCCATTTTAATAGATGCTCAACAGGGGATTAGGCGTTAGAAGAGGTCGCCGAACCTCTAGGGCTTTGGCCGAAAAATTCTCTGTGTTCATTTATATTTTCTGCATTTTATTTTCAGTTTATGATTGTGATTTTGAAATCTTGGTTAATATTTAGTATCTCTCAACTTTTCATGTCACCTTATCAAGCATCTCTTCAAAAATACCAAACACAAAGCCTCTTAGTCTGGGCTTCCCAGAGGTTCGTAAAAGGGAGGGGAGATTTTCTCTTCATCCGGGGTTCATAGAACTTTTTTGAGGATGTTTTGCCTGGTGTTGATGCAGACATGAATGCTCAATATTCTTTCCTCCGAGAAATCCTTTAAAAACAGCATGAAATATTAATGCAAGATGGGTTGGCTCATACAGTAATTTATACTTTTTTTGATTAATTCAGATGAAGATTACATAGTTAGAAATTAGTACGGGGGATAAAGCGTATGATCAGAATTACTAAAAGTCTAGATCTTAAAATATATAACCGTTTTTCCCAATGACAATACAGAAAAAAAAGGAAAATATAGAGATGCTATATTCTCCGGATGCTTGCTTATTCATGGGGATACTGTATTTGAATTCTCGGCATCAAGGATATCAGCAGGAGGAATGAACGAGTCCATTGACAATCCTGGCACATTAAAAACAATGTCGTGAATCCTCCACTCTTCCTCCATTCGAGTCCTATTATGCTCAATCGACGTCTCCCCAAATCGGAAAACAGTGGCAATAGTCCTCCCCTGATGAGCAATTAGTACTCCATCGACGTCCACATAATCACCAATGGTGCTCCCTATGGTGGTCTCCCAGTAAACAGTACCGTTATCAGGAGTCTGGACTCTGGTTAGATGCGAATCCTCCATGTAAATGAGAAGCCCACTTTTCTGGCTGAAATAACCATATAATACATGCCGGATCACTTCGGCTGGTCCTTCGCTTCTTTCTATCACCGCAGCCCGATCTGCCGCCACTTTTAGGACGAAGCAGTCATCCTCTCCTATGCGTTTCTCCCCTAAGCATTGGGCTTTCGCAAATAAGCGTGCAGTGCTCCTCGGATCGAGCCCCTGCATTCGTGTTTTATTCGAATAATTGACTTAATGCAAACTAGTTCCTAAATGATCACATGGTTATCAAATATAACATGTTAGATATAGTGAAAAATTAGACTCGACAATTCACAATTTGTAACTCCTATATCTGCATTTTAATGTTCTAAGGTCATGTGCAATATATCATTAGGTAGCTCAATGTGCCAATCATGCTTAGAATGTCCACTACTAATCATATTAAATAAGGTCTATTTTCCTAAGTCTTTAACAAAATATATGCAATGCCCATTATTATTCAGAATTCAAGAAAGGCATCTGCAGCGCCCACATGTTTTCTTAAACCTATGTGGCTAAAGTGTAAATGCTCAAGATTTTAAAACTAGTGGATCCAAGAATTGCCAAGCAATTTGATCTCTTTAGCAAAGGCTTCATTTGCAGGTAAAATATATTTATAAAAGGGGAAAGATATAAGGCAAAAGCAAGGGTTGAAACAAAGAGAAAGATGTAAAGCAAAAAAAACAGTAGATTAGAAGCACTTTAATACAAATAGATAGCAATCCCAAGAAGATGAAATATAGGAATCACGTGATGTGTCCTCTTAAATTGTGAGTGCGTTCAAAGATAAGTGTTGGGTAAAGAAAGGGACACTGTCGGTTTCTATATCTTTGTCAGCCAATCCCAAAAATCTTATTTGTTAATTTCAAGAAAGTGCCTCTAATCTTGTTTGGTAGTCTCTCTTTTTCAAATGTATAACACACTTTAAACCTGCTTATACCTTAGTTAAAGCACTTTAATACAGTACAAAAAGAATAAAATGACGTAGATATTTTATATTTAGACGTAGCCGGTTCAAATCCGAGTAAATAAGGAAAACAATAATAGATAGACAATGTGTGAAACATTCCTCAAATCTTATGATATGAACCCAAATTTGTAATGAATCTAATTATGACTCAATTAAGGCTTGACCTGTTCATCGAGTCATAACGACTGCAACGATCGATATCAAAACATGCATTCTTTCAAAGATGATGTTCATGGCGACCGGACGGAAATCTAGCAGGGAAAGTGACTAGGTAGATTAATGTGAACCCATTTTTAAAAGACGGCGAAATGTAATGAATCTAATTATATACTTCATTGCAAAGTTAAGGTTCGAGTTGTAGGTTAAAGAAAATTGAAATGCACCTGAATGATACGACGTAAAGGGCGTTGAGGCCCTTTAGCAGCATGGGTGCCAAGCCAAGGGGTGTGTCTCCATACAGTTTTTCCATCGCTGCCTGCGAGAACTTTATTACCGCCGACGGCCAGTTCCAGTGACCACATTCCCGGCGACATTTGCCATAGCACAAAGCACCCATTTTCTCCTGTCCTAGACCCCAAAGTCCTCACGCTTTTCCCTGATGAAATTTCTGTTTCACAACGGATCATTTTCACCACACCAGAAGTGTACATGTTTTTTGCACAATTATGTTGTTTTGAGCACCCCGTTGAAGCCAAGTACTGTTGAATTATGTAATTTGCTGCTGATGTCTCCTATATTAAACACCAAGAAAAGGGAGTGAACAGTGAATCTTTAAGATAATTAATTGCATAATTAAGTAGAAATTAAGTTAGAAACTCACGATGGGAATGTTCTTAATGTGAAGATTGAAAATAGGGTTGTTTGATATAGGAATAGGGGCAAGTGGACAACCCAAAACACCAAGCAAAAGTCTCAAATCTTGCCTCTTGGCTAGACTAATATTGTTCCCATAAACAGACATTGAGTAGTTATTGCTTCCTGGTACACTTTTTTGTACACGAAACCATTCTCTAATGACTTCCCAAGAACTCTCTTTTTTGCTTGCTTCTTGATTCTGCATGCTAAAATCTGGCCCTTCCATTAGAGGAGTAAGAGGTTGCACACACCATATCTGTTTTCTTCGAGCCCTCGACGACATTGTTTTTCTAAATTAAAACACCAAAGTTGAGCAAAAAGAAGCACAATTTTGAGACTTAAGAATTGTATGGGGGAGAGGGAAATGGTAGATTTATGAGTCACAAGGGACAAAAGGGACAGCCCATCAGCCCAAATGGCAAAGAGGGGAAATTAATATAGTTTTAATATTAGGATGGCTTTATTCTTTGTCTTTTTTGGACTGCATTTGTCGTTTCGTTTCTAAATTTATTCTCTTGAGCCACACCAAAATGAGAGTTTTTGATGAATTAACAAGTCCCTTTCCACATTTGGCTTATACTTTAATCTTGTTTTTACTTGGAGTGTTACTCATTTACTTGAAGTTAAGCTGATTACAATTGTCGTATATAAGCCACTTAGCATATTTCGACATTTGTGTCTCCCTTAAGGGCCCATTGTACTAAAAAGGAAAAAAATTATTGTATCATTATTTAAATTGCTTTTTCTTCTTGAAAATTGCATCACACCATCTCCATGGCACTATGAAATGGAAAAGTAATTCAATTTTTTTTTTTTCAAACTCATTTTGAATTACATATTCTCTCAATATATAAAATATTTTGCACATAAATTCAAAAACAAATTTTTTTTCTACCTTTAGCCTAAACAAGAACAACTCATTTTCAATATAAAATGGGAGACAAACATAGGCTCACTACCATCTGTGCTAAGCATCGATCCAATATTTCTATAATTATGATATATCAATAATCCTATCTATCATTAATAGAAATATTTGTTCGATTTAAGATGAACTATTATTTGAATGTCACATATAAGAATCATATTTCTTTTCTACTCTAGTGAATATTAGACCTGTCAAGATTATCTTTATTCTATATAGGGTAGTATGCCTAATTCAAAAGTTTGTATTTTCTTCATATTCATAAATAAATAACTTATCCTAAAAATACTCTTTTCATATCAAAGTTGCTTTTGTATTGTATTGTTGTTAAATAAATAAATAAAAAAGGGGGGAAAAAAGAAAAAGAAAAAGAAAAAGAAAGAAGAATTAGAAGTGAGATAAAGGGCACGTTAAAGAGTCTGCATCAATTGTTGGATAGGCGGCACAAGTGGGAAGGGTGAATGGATTGACGGCAATTGGTGGCTGGTATTCCAAGCTAAGCTCTGACGATTAGCAAATAATTTGTTCAAATGTGATTTTCAATAATGCCAAATGTATTCTTGTAAATTGGAGTAGTTAATACTATGAAGTCCAATCCATCGCCAAGGTGAGGTGAGCATACGCAATTCATTTTGTTATATAGCCAATGAAATTACTAAGAAAGACTACATCACCAATAAATAAATAAATAAATAAAAATAAAATAGTGACTTCGTCAATATAATATTTGTATAACTCAACCCATCCCATAAAAATATTCTTACTTTCCTTTTTTGTCTGCTCAAATTATAAATCACTTTCCTTATTTAAAGTATAGATGATTTTTTAATTTTTTTACTATGCCTTTGTTTAATTTACCTTGACATCAACAATATGAACTACTCATATTTAAATCATAATTTAATATAGTGGTATATTAAAAAAATATATGTAAAATTTATACTTTTAACTATATTAATTATATTTCTTAATCTGTGTAAAAATGAAAGATGTTAGATTTTAATTTGTATTGGCTATTCTTTAGACAAAAAGATTATTATAAAAGAGTTGTAAAAGTTAATGAGTCTTTTGGAATGCTGTATAGATAAACTAAAAGTCTTTGGGTTCGTGAATGGAACATGAAGAAAGAGTAATCGGAATTATGCTAACTTGTTGCCAAGCTGATGCTCGAGCATCCAAAATAGAATCATTATAGTCCGCTTGTCGCCTGACTCTCACTCGAGCGAAACACCTGTCACTTGTCTAGCACTTAATGTTCTTCGAAAAATCCTAGTTCGCGATTTTCAAAAGTTTTATCCCTTAGTACCCAATACCTCTCTACTATAAATACAAAAGCTCCACTTCATGAAAATGGTGGTTGATTGTTATATTATACCTTCATAACATTCTTTGAAGATCAAACAATAATTCTACATTTTGAGATCAATCGACCACAAGTTGGAAAAGAAATCAAAATCATATAATTTGAAGCACCTACCTCGTAAACATAACCAAAAAAGTACTTTTTCAATAACTTTTAGAGATTGCTGAAAATTGAGGGAGGTTAGACCAGAAACACAAAAAGAGTACAAGAATAAGGTATTCTTGGTAATCCACAGAAGAAACAGAAAATCAAGAGCAGGTGTGAATGAAGCACATTTCAATGGGTATTAAAGATTATAGGAACTAGATCAGCGAGTTAGTGAATTTTCTAGGCTAGATCATATTGTAAATTCTTATTGTTTATAATGGAAGTCACTAACTTGGTCTCGAGGTTTTTTAATCTTGTGAAGAATTTTCTCTGTCAATATATCCTATGTTATTTATTATTGTGGCAATTCAACATAGGATAAAATTGATTTGATTGACTAAATATCTTGAACAATTATAAGGTGACTTGTTCCTTTCAATTGATAATTTTAATTCCGTGTCATTCACCATTCTCTAGGTGATATTATGGTCGAACTAGTAACTTTCAAAAGCAAACTTAACTTTGTGGGATGGATAGAGTAATTATTTATAAGTAATAGATTGGAGCAGAATTTGAATTTAGATCCATTAGAATATAAATGAGGATACAAAATTAATTTTAAAGATAGGAATTTACATTCAATTTTACACCGTCTTTGGAGATGCTTTTAGAAGATACCAATAGACACCAAAATTTACTTCCCCATTGAAGATACTCTAAGCATTGACAAATGCTCTAAAGATCTCTTAACCTTTAGCTTTCCATAAAAAGTAAACAATTGAAAAGAGAAGATGCTAAACTATTGAGTTTGGCTTGAACTAGTACTATGAGAAAAAAAAAATTTAATGTAGCTGTTACATTTGCATAGTGATAGAACCATTCATTTAAATCATGATACCTAGGACCTTGAGCCATTGAAATTGTGACACCTTTGCATCGAAGTGGGGGGGGGGGGGGGGGGGGGGTGGAAGTGGGGGGGGAGGAGAGAGAGAGAGAGAGAGTAGGTATGTGATATAGATGTGTCGCATTATGAATGACTCGAGCTCGAAGCTATCGTTTAAACGGATAGTTCTACCACGTGCACATGTCGAATTGTCCTATCAAATCTATATTAAAATCAATACCAAACGGGAGCTTAGAGCAGAGACATTTTGGTTTATTATCCGAGTCCCGAGACCTTTATTTTTAATTCACCAAAACTTGATTTCGAGCAACTAAATAAACTTCAATAATTTACTTGTAGAGTTGAACACATTCAACTTTCATACTCATTAAACCCAAAAAGCCTGCTTAAATAATTGGTCATCACAAAAATCAACTTTTATTAACCAATTTCAAACCAAATTTACGTTATAATACATATAAAGTAACAACATCAAGTACAAAAATACCATGTTTAAAGTTAGAGGCATCAAATCGGACGAACTAGCGCTAAATTGCTCGAAAAAACCCATCACAAGAACTGAATATAGCATGTGCCTCAGGATTGGACGGGTCGCGATCTATGCCATCTTAATCGATGGGTCAAGTTGAATTTAGGGATGATGACGGGCGGGTCAAGTAAAGGTGAAGACAATCATTCCCTAACCAGTAGTGATAGGCATTTTTGTCTCATTGCCTCGCCTCCATACCCGGTTAAGATGGGGAGGGGCACGACGTGGTAATGACATGTCTCATTTATTTTTTTATTTTTTGTTTTTTATTATTTTAATGTTTTTAGTTGGTAAAAATCATTACTTTCTTTTCAAATTGTAGAAAATTCATATTTCCTTTAGAAATGACGATGTTTCGTTTTTGTTTTTGCTTATTTGTTTGTGTGTGTGTGTGTGATGTATAAAGGGAAAATTAGCACAAACCATATATATAAACTCTATTGTTATACCCATAAATTACTTCACATTAGCCTTATTATTGGACCCGAACGAGTCCCATTAAAGCTAGACAGCACAAGCCTAAGAGGGAGCCAAGTAAAAGTCCAAGCTAAGGCTCTCAAGGGGCTCATCCACGGTGCCTTAAAGAGCTAGCCGAGATGCTCCCAAAGGTCAGCCGAGGTGCCTTAAAGGGCTAACCTAGGTGCCTTCCAAGATGGCCAAAGTGCCTGACGAGGTAGTCCACCTAGGTTCCAAGAGGTCCTCCAAGGCTCAGCGAAGTGCATCCTAAACCCAACCCGAAGCTATCTAAAGATCATCTGAAGTGGTCTAACGGAGGCACAAGAAGAGGTCTAACCGAGGTGCCTTCAAAGGTGCTGCCGAGGTCCCAAGAAGCCCAGCAGAAGTACTTTCTAAGGTACCCATTGCTATGCTAATACAACCACCTCATACTAGGTTTGGACTTAGGCCCATTAAAGCACTTGACCTGTCTTCACTTTTACAAATATGAGAATTCCTTTTCATTTCCAGGTATGCCTAAACAAATCTCAACACTCTAGCCAAATCCCCCCATCTCCATACTATTGCACTCTATAGATTTATCTTCGTTTGGCCGTTTACTTAACCCTCTGAGGGCAAACGGTTTTCGGACCATTTTTCCGTTCGGCCACCTTTGCCTCTTACGAGGTGCTACATGTATAGGTTTGGAGGGGACTAGGCCGAGCATTTGTTGGAGCCATTTTTGGAGGTCAACAGATTGACGCCGTCTATGGGAAACGATACGTTAACCATATTTCTTACCACATTCCAAAAAATAACCAAGACAGCAAGCAAAGATGGTTTTGTTGTTTCTAGAGTTTGAAGTTACTCCTTCGAAACCAATCCGACAGAATCACCTGAATGTAAGAATGATCAACGGGATCAAAAATGTAATTTGAGCCCACCGAGTTCACAATATTTCCTTAAAACGAATATACTGCCTTCAATGATGCTAAAGGCGTCCAGCAATCGTTTCCCAGGATATAACGAATTTTCGTCTCCTACGGAAGCAGCACTGCAATCTGCAGGAGTTCCAATGAACTCAACGAAGTATGTCTTACTTCGAGACAATATCAGAACGAGAGAGAGGGAAATGAGATTCAAAGTACAGAAAGTTTGCAATGAAAATGGTGTAAATTTTCTGGTAGAGAGGCAGG